ACGTATGACACTAGTTAAAAAAAATATATTTTGCAGAAACGCTTGCAACTAGTCAGCTTATGTTGATTTTAAACATAATTTAGCTATTTTATTTGATTTCTTACTACTTCCCTTATAGAAATTTAATACTGATAAGTGATAATTACTGTCGTTCAATAATCTTATTACTCGTACGAGTAATAAAATTACTATTTATTACTGGCCAATTTATCACAGCCAGTGATATTTTTTTATAAGTATTTCGCACCTGAAAATTTATTCAGTACTGGTCAGACGCGAACTCGAGACCTCACACACCTCCAGGTTCCTAAAGTCTACCACTTTGGCTACTGCGCTATTTCCTCAACTGATACTAAGCGTATTTTATTATCCCCATATGCGCGCGCGCGCGCAGCTGAAGTACTAATTATAATTTTCTTATAATATTATTTAGTACAACCACAAAAATAAACTATTTATATTTCTAATATTTCATATAATAAAAGTGAAGTTAGAAATACATGCATAAAATATTTATGTAAAATATGTTTACCTAGGTGTTGACATTACAAAACATTACAATTTAAAAAACATTTGAAGAAACATTTTTAAAATGTTAAAAATAATGAGATAAGTTCTCTTTTTTCATTAAAAAGAAGTTTTTTAACGTTTTTAACATTTTTTAACGTTTGGAAAAATGTTACTTTTAATATTTAATGATTATTTTAACGTTTATTTTAATATTTAGAAAATTTTTTAATGTTAAATGTTAACATTTAGAAAAATGTTTTTAAATGTTGAAATACGTGTTTATTAAATATTAAAAAACAAAACATTCTTCCAAACGTTAAAAAACGTTATTTTAATAAAAAAGGAAAACTTATCCTCTTATTTTTGACGTTTTAAAAACGTCTTTTCAAATGTTTTTTAAATGTTTTTTAAATGTTTAAATATTGTTTGTTTATTGGGTAACAAAAATAACTAGTAAATAAATAAAAAATATTATATTATATTCGTAATAGTTTTTAAATATTGCTATAACATTGCTAAAGTAATATTTTAAATTAATGTCACTGCAATGTTTCTGCAACATTGCATTGTAATGTGCAATGTTGCAACGTTATTATTATTTATATGAAAATATATTTATAAGAATAGCAAACTTATTTTTTTATTTAAAAAAGAAATTTGTCTATAATATGGTAAAATAAACGTTATCATAACGTCATTTTGCAAAATCATTTTGACGTCTTAAAATATGACATTAAATACACGTCTTTAAAGGACAAATGACGTTACTGATTAATAATAATGACATATTGACGTCAAGATAACGACAGCTTGCTGCCTGGGTATTTTTCTCTAAGTTTCGCGATTGGTTAAGTATAAAGTGAAATAGCTAGAGTGTGCCATCGAGAGGCGTTTGGTGGAGAAAAATCTTCTCTCTCTATCTTTGTCTGAGGTTCGCTAATTGGTTAAGTATAAAGTGAGACAGTCTTACCACCAATCTATGTAGACCGTAGGCTGACGGTTCACTCCAGTATGTACAGGAGCCCTTATAGAAATATCATACTAAGAATCATTGATAATTACTTATTATCCAGTATTTTTAATACTGAAAACAAGTAATTATCAATGATTCTTAGTATGATATTTCTATAAGGAGAATCAATGCACGAGAAGCGGTAGGACATTCGATAAAAACAGGTACGTTGCATCCACGTCGAATCCACGTAATTTACGTGGAATACGTGGATGGACATTTATCCACAAAATATCGATAGATACAACGTTGATTTCGATAAATCGAGGTATCTCATCTTCGAAATATCCACGTAGATTCCACGTTTACCATATCTCGACAAAAGCAGATATGTTGTATCCACATCGAATCCACGTAATTTACGTGAACTACGTTGATGGACGTATCCACGAAATATCGATATAGATGCAACGTTCCTTTGTCCTTGATAAATCGAGGTATTTCGTCTTCGAAATATCAACGTAAATTCACGTTCACCATATCCCGATAAAAACAGATACGTTATATCCACATTAAATCCACGTAATTTACGTGAACTACGTTGATAGACATATCTGCAAAATATCGATATAAATGCAACGTTTATTTATCCTCGATAGATCGAGGTATTTCATCTTCAACGTAGATTTCATGTTAGCCACATCTCCATGTCCAAGTAGAACAAAAGAACACAATGACGCTAAAATAAATAAAAAAATAATCGAATCGTGATTGAAAAGTGAATTTTTCAGTCATTTTCTCATTTTGACATTATTTTGACTTCAACGTGATTTGATGTTCGATCTGGGCAGTACAGCTTTTATTATAATAGAAAAGCATCTCAATTGCGCAAGTTGCAATTGACTGCAACTACAGATTATATAGGCTACAGATTATAATGATTAATTATAATATATATCATTATAATATTCATTATAATATATATTCATTATAATATTCATTACACTATATATTTAATAATTCATCAAATCTTGCTATGTCCATCCATGTAGTCCACGTAAATTACGAAAATTCGACGTGTATATAACGTAATAAAAAATTTTACTATAAAAATTTTAAGACCGAAATGGAATGTGCGATGTTTCGTAGGCCTTACTTCACTAGTTAAGGTTTAAATTAACAATAAAAGTACGAAAAATATAATTTATATTATATTAAAATGAAATTATATTATAAAAAAATTATATTACTGCGTTAATTGCAACATATATAGAAAAAATATAAGACGTTTATATCGATTGAAGAAGTAGTGTAGTGTCTAAAGCAATAGGTTCCATAATCCCAAAGGTGCCTCAGGTCCAAGTTCGAATCCCAGTGTTATTGAGGATTTTTAAGTTGATATAACATTTGGAATCAAGTAATCTTAAATTTCAAGTAAAGTCAGCAAACGCTGACTGGTCTTTTATTTCAATCAATTTGCCAATATTTGTAAAAAAGTGAAACTTTTTGCACTTATTTGAATATTCCTTATATATTCTATGAATATTCCGGAATATTTTGGGATATTTTTGGAATGCTAATTTTGGATTCTAGAAACATTTTATAAATATTCCAAGAATATCTGGCGTTTACTGGGAAATGTCCATCCACGTGATTCATATAAATTACGTGAATTCGATGTGGATATCTGTTTTCTTTTCCACGTGGATTCTAATATCATCATTTTCGAGCGGATGATCCACTCGATGTTCGACGTGGATATCGACGTCGATGATCCACGTAATAGGGACGTGAATTCCACTGTTTTTGTCGGGCAGGCTCTGTATGTAAAAGAAATGGCTTACCTCTTAGCAACGATAAGTAAACAGCTGATTTCGAGGCGGAGTAACAAGCGACACGTATACGTTGCTCCGCCTCGAAATCAGCTGTTTACTCATCATTGCTAAGAGGTAAGCCATTTCTTTTTACACACAGAACCTGTCCTACCGCTTCTAGTGAGCTTATTCGTTTATACATTTTAATTATTTACGGAATAAATATTGAGAAAGTTTAAAAATGATATATAACTTTTATGATTATTTTGATCCGTTCTATCCGTATACGGCGGTTGCTCGATCAGTTACCGAACACCCTATATACAGGGTGTCCCGAAGTCCCATGATGACCCTTGGTGAGAACGTAGAACGGATTGAGGTGAGCAAGAAAGTCCTGTGCCGTTTTGCGATATTCGCAATAGTTTTTGAGAAATTAATTATTTTGTCTCAACAAATCAGCGTACAGAAAGCGGCAGCGGAAAGAAAGATGCCTTCGGTCGACGTGCGACCGTGACACTCGCGAATCGTATCTCGCCGCATCCCTCCGCCCATAGCTACGAGACATAGCGAGTCTATGTCTCGTAGCTATGGGCGGAGGGATGCGGCGAGATACGATTCGCGAGTGTCACGGTCGCACGTCGGCCGAAGGCATCTTTCTTTCCGCTGCCGCTTTCTGTACGCTGATTTGTTGAGACAAAATAATTAATTTCTCAAAAACTATTGCGAATATCGCAAAACGGCACAGGACTTTCTTGCTCACCTCAATCCGTTCTACGTTCTCACCAAGGGTCATCATGGGACTTCGGGACACCCTGTAGAGCTCATTGGTGCTGCTCGGGAGTTAAAGTTTCTATCACTGGTATCAACAGTCGATAATCTCGTAAAAATCGATCAATAGTAATAAGAATTTCCGCAAGGACAACGGTTTTTAACGGTCTCGTCGGGGCCTTGATTGAGTACTTGCACAACTTTTGCATCGAATTCGCGGGACAGTTTTCTAAAACGAGAAAATCGTGCAGACAATCACAGATGTAAGAGTATTTGCATAAAAATATATTGGATTCTACATAGAAGATTCACACAACATATCATACTATTCCAACTAAATATTTAATTTTCAAATTATACATATTTTACGCGTTATATATCACGCGTTTTGTTCGTCTTTGCAAAAAGACGGCAGACTTAGCCGGGGACCAGTGAGAATCTGGGGTCGTTCATAGACGGAAATTCCATCGTCCACGTAGCGCGCTAAAACGTGTCTCTGATGAATTAGCGGTAAGCCGAAAAAGGTCATGTAAACATATCTTATCCGCGCTTTTCTTTTCCCGCAGCATGGCTTGCTGTCCCCCTCACATGAAGAGAATTACGAGAGTATGAATCATCATAAACGCACGCGCGCGCAGTCACGCAAGCAAGCGAGTGAGTGACGGAGCGAAGGACAGAGAGAGAGAGAGAGAGAGAGAGAAAGAGAGAGCAAACGACGCGACGAATACTCGATCACTCTTTCTGCGCGTTGCCGGAGTCGCCGGGACTCCGTATATGCGACAATGAGAGTTGTGTGAATGAGTGTGCGTGTGTCGCACAACGCAGGCGGGGGGAACAGCCATCCGTTGCGAGTTTTTAACTGAGCGCGTGTCGTATCGCATCGCGTGCGCGCTCGCGTTGCGTGTTGCGCAACGCAGACTTGTGTTAGCGCGGAAACGTACGGTGAGTTTTCTATAAATAGAGGTATGCACATATTTCGCCTTGGCAGACGCGCGCGCGCCAAGCAGCGGCGAGATTGTATCTCGATATGTGTGTAATAAGGAGAGAGAGAAAGAGGCACGATGGTAGAGTGATGCAGTAACGTATTTGATGTTGATGATCGCTGCAACAATCGGCTCTTTCACGAATAGTCGCGTCGCGAGACTACAACGAGGAGTGCTGTTGATAGTGAGTGTCGAAGGGAGCTGCGCGTGACCGAGACCGCGGTCGGTTGGTCGGTGAATGATAAAACGTGGTTTCTCCGCGTTCGGTCGCGATGGTTAACGATAATGTCGGGCGATTGGTGAGAGCGCGTTATCTTCGTGTGTGAACTTCTCGGGGAGTTTTCGGCGAAATCGCTCTTAGGTGGGGAGGAGAAAGACTAGAAATAGGAATCCAGTGAGAAGGACCGCGCTTGTCCTTCGGGGAGAGGACTATTTTTAGCCGTAGTTGGGCATATGCTCGCCAACAGCCCTTCTATATTGCTTTCCTGAGGGCGACAGATAACCTCTGGCTGCGTTACCCATGACCATACCGCACCACAGTTAGTCTTCAGGGCCGCGCAGCTACCACGCTGTTTCACTTTGGCTTGCTCGACACCTTGGTGTGTTTCGCTGTTTGACAGGAAAATGGAGAACGAACAACATCACTATGAGCTGCGCAGTGGTAGCAGGTCACGCTCGCACACCCCCATGGTTCCGAACCGTCCTTTACCAGACTTAGAGGTAACAGAGCATCACTATGATCTCAGGAGAAGGAGCCGGGAGAGATCTCATACACCTGGAGATGTTACGAGTAGCAGGAGATCTGGCACTAGGTCCTTGTAAGTAGCTGGTTTAAGCCTACGACTTCTAGGCTAAAAGTATTCACTATTCACAGGCCTATTCTTTTTAGCTGAACTGCTGCATTGCAATGTTGTTTCTTTTCTTGTTGATGCTGACTTGTATATTTACTTAATTGAAAAGGCAAGAAGTACAATGTAAATTATCTAAAAAGAACAGACCTAACAAAAATCATAGATCCTTATTCTAAGTTCTTGTTTACTAATAATAGTATTTCTAAATAAAACTTATAAGCCTTCTATATGTGATTGGCTTATAAGTACATTTAAAAATATTTTTATTGATGAAAGAGAGTTCAAAAAGTACAAATTAAAAGGCAAAAAGTACAATTTAGTTCAACTAAAAAGAGAATCTAACATAATAGTTAAAGGCTCTTATTTTGAATTCTTTTTTATCTATAAAAGTGCTTCTCTGTGGGTTGAGTCTTCTGATTAGTTTATAAGTATATTTAAAGATGCTTCTACTAATAAAAGAAAGTTTAGAATAATATTGTGCAAAATATGTATATTTTTTATATATATGATGAAGCATGTTCCATTTTGATATATCACTTGTATTTTTGTTCCTTCATAACAGAACTGGGAGTAGCAGTAAAATGCATGAGAAGAATATGGAAACAATAGAGGAGAGTAAGGAAGGATCCATGATAGAAAGTGTAACGGATAATCAGAGCACCAAGTCGGAGAGCTCGATTGTAACTCCAAGGAAAGCTGAGCGACGGTCAGAGCGCCAAAGAGCTAAGAAGCAAATATTTGTTAATGGTCAGAGTGAAAGTAAGGAGGATATATCTGGTCAGAAGGCGGAGCGAAAGCGCAAGAGCGTTACACCACGCAGGATATTTACTAGTGATTACTCATCTGAAGAGGGAGAAAGAGAAGATCCTCCCAGTAGACCAGGTTCTGCTTATGAAATTTATAAGCAGGCTGGTGAATGGTGGAAGTATGTACATCATACTTGAATTTCACATTATATATGTTGCGTGTGTGCACTTGATTATCTAAGAAATAATTTTTCTCACTAGTTTGATCAGTGTGATCCATTTTTCTCTATCTTTTTTCTATGTTCTGTTTGACTGTATTATGGATCCACATTTGGGAGTTATATAGGGTATCTTTTGTGATAAGAATTTTCATGAATGTAAGAGGCAAGAGTACTCATGTTAATTAAGCACCCTAAAGGACATGAAAACCTACTATGTCTACACTATTGTTTCTAAGTAGTGCTAAAAGTAGGATAGTAGACAGAAATTTAGATAGTAGTATAAGTTTAGAAGAACCATATTAAAGTCTCTTGCAAAAACAATACATACGGAGCCACTAGCATAAATTTTGAAGCTTTATATTTCTGAAACTGTTTATACAAAAGATAATTTTAAAAAGACAGTTTTGAAAATAGCTCGAGATTTACAACTTTTATCTCAGGATAAAATCAATTTCCATTTAGGAAATTAGTTGTCTTTAAAATTTCTTGAAAATAACGACATTTACGACATAATTCAGAATTACATGTCTCTTCAAATCAAACACAATTTTTGTTTGAAACATTTTGTTCTACAATCAAAAATAAGTTTTTTTGAAGGAAGAATAAGTTAAAATGAGACACCCTGTATAATCTTTCTGTCGGAGAAGAAATGTTTGTAAACAATAATAACTTTATATAACTTTAATTGATGATTTTGAAATTAGTTAAACAAAAGATACAAAATAATAGAAAATATGTAAAAAATGTAAAAGATTCACAAGGCTTATGTTCACAATAAGGTTGTCAGAATGTCTGAGCATTTTTTAATTGTTTTAGCGTTTTTCCAAAGACAGACTATACATATTCGCAAACGTCGCAATGTCGTTATGAGATCGCCCCGGGTGTGTTAGCGATGCCCAACATGTCGAGGCGATCTATACACATGGACGACAGTGGAAACAATTTCGTACCTCAAAGCTGCAGTCAGACTTCGCGACGAACCACAGAAAGTGGATTCAGTGATGGTGTAGATACTGTCGACTTGAAGGAGCCAAGTTCTCTACTTCATTCGGTAATCTTATCTGCAGTTGTCGTTTCATTATATTATTTTCTACTGGTAACATTTTCTATATTTGTGTCGTAAAACGTGATTTGTTTCTTGAATCTTACAGTCCGAAGATTTCTCGCGTATGCATATATCAGATTCTGCAAGAAGATCGACTCTATACAAAAAGACGCATGTGGAACAATATATGAGTCACAAGGAAGTAGTTTATACCGATTCTGGAAATCCAAGTTTTCGGCAAAGGTTTTATATATTTTCTTTCATTTCTGAGACAATTAGTCCAAATTCACAATGTATTCTTTGTATGCTTCATGTGTTTTTTTTATCTCTTTTCTGTTTCTTTCTCTTTATCTCTTTTAGACTTAAATATTAATTCAGGAAAAAAGGACAAGGAACCGGAAGCAAAGAGTACTTTGTAAATGAGGCTTTAAAGTGTCGAAAAGAGAAAAACAAAATAACATAATTGTGTGTTTCTCAACAGATATTCTTCTTGGTTTAGTACTCCTTCAAAGTACACTGATGTGTATAACATATCTCAATACGATTCTGATGCTGAATTTGACCAAATTACGACATCATCGGTGGTCAAGACTAACCAAAGATGGAAAATCATGCAATGGTTTACATATTTCACGACCTTCATTGCCGTTTGGTTCAGTAAAACCGTCGAATTCTTTAAGTTTCGTACCGACAGAAGGAGCCAGTATTATGATGCACAAACTTATCGCTATTTTCACGGTATCGATATTTATAATCGATATTTATAATTTATAATACTTATAATTTTTAACGATGTTAAAAACAACACATTAGTTTCATACATTATCTAAATACTTTATATATAATTTTATGTAATATAATTATTATTTTATATATGATAATAATTTTATAATATATATAATAATTATATTTTAATATTAAGTGCGGTTTTTAACTATAAAGTGTAGTTTTTAACTATATTTTTTATTTTTTACCACTTAGATTCCAAATGGAGCACATTGCGGAAAACATTGGAACGTTATTCGCGCAACATATATTTCTTCATCGCTAGATTATTTCTTTTCGATGCTTGGTTGCTAAGTCAATTCACCGGCGTTAGGAAGTGGCTGCAAGAGAAAACCCCGAAGATCCTCTGGATTGCTCTCATATTGTTACTTTTTCTGCTTGGTGAGTCTTACATCTCAACTGTGTTTTGCTACAGAAATTTACATACCAAGTAAAAAACCGGGAAAGAAAACTAAGCAACTCCGGACACGTTTTCACTGATCCATACGATATCTAAACCAATCATCCAATCACAAGACCGATGTCTTTCACGGGACCGTACGAGAAAGGCGCGCAAACCTATCCTGGCCTTCGTCTTCTTTTTGTTTCAGGGGCTTACATCGCGCAGGAGTATTTCTTTACCTGCGTGGACGCTCTGCGCAAAGTCCAATACGGTGTCACTGAGACGACTTATCACATCTTTAACGATATTACTACCAACCTAACATCTCTTGACTATGAGTTATTCGCAAAATACATTGCAAATCTTAAAAATTACACCATGCACCTCTTACCCAGTGTGAACGTGTCTTTGCCTGAAATGCCTCCCATTGGATGGAACATATCGTGGTGATTAATTGAAAAACTGGTTTAGGAAACATAGCAATAATCACAAAATATACATTATATATTTTTAACTTAAATAAAAAATGGATGGAGGTGGTATTAAACATTTATATATTTTCATAATAATCAAAGTAGCACGTGACGTGATATTATATAGAGTTGTATAGGATCGTTTATTAAAACATTTTCACCTTACAAGTCGATTGTAGTAAAAAATTATATAATGAAAAGTAATTATTTCTACTTATGAACACGCTCTGACTTTTATCAGGAGATATAACATACCTCTTTCGTCCATTTATCCTTTGAATTATTCGTGTGTAACTAATTGTTTTTTTATTTTTTTTTAATTTGCTTGATGATAAAGTCAGTATACACTGCATTATTGTTTGTTTTATAATTGTGAAATCAAATAGTCCTATGAACGTTTGTTTTATAATCATAAAGTTTATAATCATAAATATCTCTGCGAACGTTAATTATTTATTTATGATTTTTTTTGAGTTATATTAATATAATTGAATCTAGTTTCTGTCATACAGATTGAGATAAATGGTATAGACATGTTTCAAAGATTCTATCATATGATTTTTATATTTTGTGCATTTGAATTAGTTAACTAAATCTTATATATATATATATATATATATTTATATATATATATGTATGTATGTATGTATGTATGTATATGTATATATATATATACATACACACACACACACT